TAAAACTGTCGCGACCACTCAAAACAGCGTTGGGTCCTTTACACATGCTGCATTCGATACTACCTTCCGTGCGCGGATAAAATGATACGCTCTGTAAACTGTTTCCCAAACAGTCTAGTTCATTCAAATGTATTGTATGACGCTGATCCACGGATGATTTCATATTTAATTACACAGTTATTCCTAAGCTTTGAAACAGTCATTGTCTTTGCTCTACTTGAAACTCTGTGTAACACATTTTACTAATGTTCCCCAAAAAAGTATACTACTATCTTCAGTAGAAGTTCTTTCCAGTTGGGCTATGCTCTTTACGCTATTAATCGTTTTCCCACATATATATTTACTGTTTGATTATTTTGTGTTTCCGAGCAAGTCAATGGTATAACGGTTTGCGTATCCGACTATTATACCCAAGTTAGAGGCTTCAAACCCGATCGGAGCCAGAGATTTTTAAGGGCGAAAAAATCCTTCGTACGCCTTCCATCGGGGGGGGGGGGGGTAAAGCCGGCCCATGTTAGTAGATTTACTTGCATGTCCTCAAGCCTAAATGACGCCTCTGAGCTAAATTCAAATCGCCTGTTTCGTCGCCCAAGAAATACCTCTTTTCTTCGCTAGTGGGTGAAAGGAGCGTAGCAAAATTTGCGTAGTCAGACGGAAGAGCGTTCCTCATGACCCGAGTCTCGCCACGTAAAACAAGGCATCAATTAATTAATCAATTGTTGTAGTCCATACTATATCCAATACATGGCGGTATTTCCTCCCAGCTAGAACGTGGGATCCGATGCCGAACTACATGTCACCTTGCGTGGTTTTCCTCTGTCAGGTATCTCCTCTAGTGAGACACTGCTCCAACCGGGGTAAGCTCTAACCTCTCCCACATGTGTAATAGTGTAGTGCATGTACCGCCGTGCGTGTAGCGCAATTGCCGCGAAGTAGGGTAGGCCCGAGCTCGTTCACGGTCTGTCGCGCCAAGTACATACATACAAATTGTAAATTCCTCACAATAATATTCTACCTTGGTTGCGACTTTGATTTTGCTTTCCATGATACCTGATGCTTATCACTTGGAAGTATAGTTTCAATCATACTGATGTGCAATTGCAACCAGTTATCAAGGCAAGATAAAGAACACAAGGAGCAGTCCAGTTCTTTTTGGACGCAAAAATAAGTTTTCTTTAAAAACATACTTTCTAAACAAAAAATAAACTTTTCACCTTTCAAAAATGAAGTGTTAATTAAAAATTGACATCATAGCATTACCGTAGATGATTGGTACTCTTCTTAAATATACATTAGAAGAAAATATTTTTAAAAATTATATTATTTAACCAAAGTTCACAAATCTTGATCGTGGAAAGTCATGCCGTACAATAAAGAAAATATTCGATGTATAAATACTGGTTACAATTGATTGTACCGCTGATTCATTCCTTAGTAAGTCCTGTTCAACGTATAGCACTGGTAAGTGCGTATGAACGGACAATCAATGGCCTTTTCGTGACAAGTGAATGTTACTGCACTTCCTTCTTCAAAGGCCGCAACGGGATGTGAAATCCCTTTACACGAGACAGCGCGTCACACTGTCTTTGTCAAATCATGGATGGCAAACATTTTCTGCCAAAAACAGACAATTATCATTTATTACCTCTGTGTAATTTTGAGCACACGTGGTAGTACTTTTTCTCTTAATGCCCTGTTAACTAATGTTCAATTGTCCACATGTGACATTGTGCTTGTCCTTTTGCAATGTGTACACAGCATAGAGTGCACTAATAGGCTGACATATGTTCCCAAAATAACACTTATAAGTAGGTCATTGATTTTTAAGCAAAAAGTTTCTTCTCTTCTCACTTGAATGCTTGAAAGTAATAATTCATTTTCAGGTCATCACTTCAAACAATACATTTTAATTCTTATAATATAAGTGTACATTTAGGAAGCAGGGGGTATGGGTTGTCGAATTGGAAAGCCAGGTCGAATTCAGTCGCTGTCTGGAGGAGAATTCAGTAGTCGGCTTCTCTGATCGGTGGTTTCCGTGGTTTCTCCAATCAAAACCAGACGAATGCCAGAACAGTACCCTAACAAACGCCCCACATGACCGCGAGCAATATTTCCTTCCCCTTTCTTGTTCTATCCTCACACCTTACACACACATACACACACACTTATATGCTCTACACTACCACACATTCCGAAAGACCGGACGGAAGCTTAGAGCTTGTCGCGGCAAGGACGGTGCTCCGATGGTAGAATATAACTGGTTGGGGAAAACCCCGCTAGCTGGCGGTTGGTCGGTGCCGGATCTCACCATTCAGTGAAGGAAGATCACAGCCACTGCTCGAGAAAAATATGCACTACACTTATGGGAATAATGACCTTAGCCTTTGACGCGCCAGAATCAATAAATAAATAAATCGAATGGGGAGGAGGGAGTTTGGGTGCTGGGTTGGCCTTTAAGGGGTGCGGATGGGAAGGGTGGGGAGGGATGAGGAAGGGAGTGGCTGAGAGGGCCTGGCATGTCGAGAAGGGGAGGAAAGGTAAGGGTTGTGAGGGCGAAGAAGTGAAGTGGCAGAAGGAGATGCACGAGAAGGGCGGAAAGGGTAGACTGAATGGGAAGGGGTGGGAAGGGATGGGCTGTGAAGGAAAGGGAATGGCTGAAAAGGAACGCCTGGGAAGGGCGAGGAGGGTGGGCAGGGAGGGACTGTAAGGGGAAGAGAATGGCTATGAGGGGAAGGGAGTAGCTGGGAGGGGAGTACTGGCTGGAGTTGAGGAAATGGGAAGGGAAGAAATGGGCTGGGAGGGGAAGGGAGTGACTGAACGGGAGATCCTGGAGGGGAGGAACGATGAATGGAAGGATTGGAGGCGTGAAGGGAGGAGAAGGAAGGGAGTGGCTGAAGTGGAGGAAATGTGAAAAGCGAGAGGGGGTCAGAAGGGAGTTGCTGACTGTGAAGGGAGTGGTTGGGAAGAGCATGGCGAGCGAGAGCAGCAGTGCAAGTGGCCCAAAGGATTTCGATGGCACTGTACACCTCTCGCGCATCCGAGGCGGCCGTTGACCCCTAAGACCGTCACGGACAGCGAACAGCTGCTTTGAAGGCCGCGTCCGGCAGAACAGTCAGCTTTGCCTTCGCGATTTGCAACCAGTCAAGACTGATCACGGTTAGGACGCCATATACATTCAAGTCTATTTCATACCAAAATTAGAAATATGAACCAAGATGTAAGGACTATTGCAAATATTCAGATTTTTTAATCTTCTTTTGGTAGTTCCTTGAAAGTTACTCAAAACATAAACATGTTTTTGAAAGATGGACAGCTGTGCTGGAACCGGAAACATCTGTTTTCAAATCTCGCATAATATAGTGTTTACCTAGTGAATATAGGGGACGCCAGTGAAAAATTACAGGATGAAAATTACAAAAATGTTTCTTTAATTATAATGTTATACAATTTAAATATAACTCTTCTGAAATTCAATTCTTTCAAATACCTTGTCTAACGTTTTCATAATCAGATATATCCATTCCTTTAGATTAAAAAAGTGTTTCAGGGTTTGTGAATGAACTATTTGTATAGATTTCTATCCACAGTACTTTTACATACGCATTTACAAAGGCCTTGTACGTTGTAACTGCGATTGCTAGATAAAATTGCAATCCATTCCTCCGGTTTGCGGCAGCCGGAAATAAATATGTAATTGCAATTAGAAGCAATATAAGTAAAAAGTGAACGTAGCGCTTACTTAGACAATGCATGTCTTTCAGAAGAAAATATTTTAACGAAAACATAATTACCGCTGAAAAATATACTTAACATTTTACAGTAATAAAAATTTACAAATATTGGACATTTAATAGTTAAGGCAGTTTAATTTCTTTAATGCGTTTTTTAAACGCGTAAGAGACTTATTTTCGGACATTTTGTTCATTTTTTTACCAAACTGATTTTTACCAAATTAATTTTTTACGTAGTAAACTACATTCGTGGAAAATCGGAGTTTCTACAAATGTATTTTGTTGTGAACACTAAACATCGAAAGAGACATCCGGAAGTCACATCCGAGATAGTGTGCACATCAAATTCCATTTCTTCTACATTAATACAAAGTCTTAAATTTTCTATGCACGTAAACGAAATCTCCACGAAGGAAAAAAACGCACGTTTTATGTAATTTGAGAAATGGATCGTTCTGTATGTTTCGTCAGTTGCATATATTACGTCATTTAACCGCTAAAAAGTACAACTTTACTTCTTTTGAGAAAAAAGCTGATATTTTCTCCCTGATTTAAAAAGAAAACACTTTCTCTCACGCTAAGTAAAAGCGCATGCCTCAAGTTGTTACATCTATTAACTTCAAGACATTATCTCAAGTTGCAACAATAATAATTACGTTCAAATAATCAAAAGAATGTCACATTATTCAGTGGCCTAAGATTGTTTCCATTTACATTATTACTATTATATCTTTCTTTCAAAAATTTAGTTTACTAATATTCTGAATAAAAAACCGGAACTGTTGTTAAACAGTTACGTTGTATCTGCACTTATGTTTTGTCAAATTCCATTATCCCAGAGTGGGAGATAAATTTTGAACATATTACCGATTATATGATAATACTCCACTCATTGCAGTCCTTTAGATGACTTTTTATAAATTCAGAAATAGGTATACAACAAAACGTTCATAACAAATAATGTTTTTCTTTGTAAAACATTCAAATTATCCAAATGAGTGGTTCATTGTTATTTATCAAGTTTCATTATCAATCAAGTTTCATTATTATTTAAGCAAGAGTTATGTAATGAGCACTGGAAATCCACTCGAGAATTTGTGCCGAAGGTAAATTTATTATTATATGAAAAAAAATTGCCATCATTCGAAGTGAGCATCGACCATACGCATTTAAAATGGGAAACCTCCTGTATACGACTTCTCATGACAACAAACCGACAAATTGAAGTTCCACTTCCTAACGAATTCACGCTGCGACTAAGAGGCTTACCTTGTGTTCAGCTGGCGAGGAACGTCTTAACCACCGCTCTCGACTCCGGAAGTGAAAGGCACTGGCTACACTAGCGCCGCGCCGCGCCGGCCGGCCAGCTGGCCAACACCAGCGCCTGTCGCGGTGGCATTCACAACTACTAGCCTGGCAACCAGAGGCCGCCAGAGACAAAATGAAGAAGGGGGCAAAAACAGTACAAAACAAATACGTCTCTCGAAGGTTGGCCGAATTCTTTCCGCCAACAATGAAAATAATATATTTCTGGAATTTAGTATTTATAATGGACCAAATGCGCAAAAGAACAAAGAAGTTACCGTTTCAATGCAAAAGTGTAATTAATTTTGTAGAATGATTCTTTATAACTCTACATATTTGCTATCCTTGCAGTGATATCGTCGTTTACGAGTGTAGAACTGATGGTGCTACAATAGCATGTACTTTCTTGCAGTTGTAACGGACACATAATGTTGGAAGTACAGCGATATCTGTCCATTTTAACACATTTCAGACATCACTTGTAAAAAGCGTTACTGAGCTTAACGCTTTAGGTGCGAAAAGGAATAATTTTAAAAGGTAACATAAAACCTAATAGCAGAAAAGTGCTAGTAGTGCTACAACACCACATACATTCGCGCAGAATTTCTAACTTTTGTATTTTTCGATATACATACTCAGAGTTCAACGAAAATTAGTCTCCTTTGCACCGAGGGGAAAAAAACTAGAAAAATTTCAAACCTGTGTGTTAAATATATATGGTATTTACTGCTTGCAACTATTACTCGAAACCTACTCGTACTTTCAAAACAAGAAAAGATATTTACGTTGGTAAACACGCACTTAGGCTCTTACCAACCAACCATCTACATAATGCAACAGCACGTCCTAGCAGCGGCCATTACAATGCACGAGACTCTATAAAATATTTTAGTGTTACTTTAGGGTTTAGATTTTATCACTGCTCATAAATCTTGGAGAAAATATGACGTTGATAGAAAACACAATTTTTGGGAATAAATGTAAACAATTGTCGAATGAATATGTAACCACTAGACGCTCTTTTCTCTTGTAAATTGTTCTCGGTCTAGTCTGCAAGTTCTTGTCTACGGCAAGCATCAAATACTCCAAAAACAAGAATGACCTTCAAAAGTAAGTCTATGTATGTCATCATCAACCTCTTGCAAGAACTTAGTTACTTGGTCTTTTGTGAAAAAGTCTGATCTTTCAGGTTTGAAAACTTCATTCTTACAAAAAATTCAATAACTTTATAATACATTTATTCAAATACATTTTTATAATTAGTTTTCAGTATTTACTATTATTTCGAATTATATGGAATTAATAACTTATATCAGCCTTCTCACGTGTTTTTAAACGCTTTTTCAGCGTACTAAAGTATGATCGGAAACTAGTTGGTTTTAATATTTTTGATCGTTCCTTTACAAATTCTAGCATAATCTCTTCGGTAATGCCTCTAAGTTCCTTTTTGGTCGCCAATCACAAAATAAATCATAAGCTTTCTCATAAGTGGTTACAGATTTAGAAGACATCAAACTAGAAATTGCAGCTTCTGATTCCTCCAGAACATCATCTGGCACGAAAATATCTGCTGATACTTGGAAATTCCTGGATATTTTTGCTCAATCAGCTTGCATTAGCAGAAAAAAGCATTCAACTGTTTGATCACAAACATAGCATCCAGTACCATCAACACTTGCTACAGAAAATCGACAGTATTGGCAATTCTTAACTCATAAAAGCGATAAAAATGTATTTTGAATAAGCGATAAACTAGAAATTAAAAAAAAATCAGCCGAAAGGTTAACTACTTGGCTTTGCTATCGCTCCGCCTCGCAGTTAACCTTCCGGTGTCGTCCGTAAAGACTCATTTAGAGGACTTGTGACATAAATAACTATTACATTATCTTATTCCAAGAACTATTTTGTACTACAGGTTATAATAAGAAAACAAGGAAGTTTATCAAATTGTACAATTTGCTTCATATGTCACATTCCATTTATGTGCTACCCTGGCATTTAAAGATCCATGGAATAGTTTCCTAAGAGTCATTGCTTCTTTTAAAACGCACATTGTAGCTTACTGTTAATTTTGAAATCAATGTACGTCAATGAAACTGAATGATTTAAAATATGAGCGTAAAAAATAGCTTCATCGTTCATTGAAAGTCCCTAGCGTTGTTAACATGTATTTCTCAACCACTTAACGTAGTACCTCTTAGGAACTTCTCTTTAGAAAATTTGAACGATGACACAAGTAAGAGACGCAATATTTTGCAATATTTTATTTTGCAACCAAAAGCACTGCATGAACCCATTTCAGTTATAATACGAACTAATGCATTTGAACTCCGGTCATTACATAAGAAGTATATTTCAAGGATAAATATACCATTTTCTTTCAATTTTTCACTCCTGAACCACTTTATTCACTATATTGAATTTTGATCTTCAATGGCCATTATGATCAATTATTTGATCTTACCAAATTAAACACATTGTTTATCCAACATTCTTATCCTGGTTACCATTTTCTACCTTCTCCAATCCCTCAGCCAAATCATTAAGCGCGTGAAGACATAAATTTGCATTTTCGTTTTACTAATTGCTATAAGACAAAATATTTGTAGAACTTTTCAACTAACGCGATGATTTGCCTTTGTTTTTGTGCAATATATTTTTTTATGTTGTGTTTAAAGAAAATATACTACCCACATTTTCAGTATCTTTTTTCTTTCGGACTTCAAATATTTTGAACGTCTTAGAGAATTTAGTTCTTATCCAATATGGAGAGTTCCACAAAAACATGCAGTCGATCGTGAAAAAGTTGTTTGAACGTTTTCGGAAAAGCGCCATTTTTATTTTCTATATATACTCAAAAACTTACGGATATGGATTTATGAAGAACAATAATTAAAGACACTTTTCTGTGTTCACACTTGGCTGTTCGTCTGTGTTGTAAAACGAATTGAACAATGAAAAAGATATATAATGTAAATTTGAAAGTGAGAAATGTTGAAATAATACATTTATGTAAGTATTGAAAACTCAAAATAATGCATAAAATAAAAATTGCACTTATGTCACGTTACTCGGTACGTTTAGTATTACCTGTACAAAAGTTCTAAAAAAACTGGAACCGTTTTATGAAAAAATCTAATTTTTTATATTTTTCTCAAAATTGCGCAAAAACTGCTATATATTTTCCACAACTGTGTAGAACATTAGTTAAATAACTGTATGTTGAAAACAAATTTTATTTAAATAAATATCTTCGAGTAAGAAATTTAATGAAAACAAGTAGTACTAAGTAGCACACACTTTCTCGCGTTAAGTGTAACGCTAAGACAATGTTATACTACTAGATGAACCTGCAAAATGAGTTGGTTTTCCAACCGGGAAAAAATAATTCTCCCCGCCGAGAATCGAACTCAGATCCAGATCAAGAATTAACATGCACACCCACTACCGCTATCTTACCGCATTCAGAGTTCATCGAAAATTAGCCCTGTGCAAATTTTAAACGTCCTTTGCCCTCATCGTTGAATCAATTCAAGAAAAAATATTGGAAAAAAATATTGTTTTGACAAAATGTTTTTATAAACCGCATTAAGTTTGCAAAAACTACCATTTTTTACAAAAAAGTACAACTTGATATTTTTTAAACACATGATTTTTAGAACATATTTCATATAATAACAAATCTGTGACTACGGTATTGTACTTTTTAAATGATTTCTTTTTCGCAATTTTCAAATATACAGAGAATTTTCCAAAAAGGGGACCAGTACCAATTTTTTATCATCTTTACATGCATATGAAAAGAAATTGTCTGAAAATGGAACCGTTTTTTAGAAAATAATTGTTTAATAATTACTTATAATTGACACAAAATTACGCGAAAACTACTCATATTTTCCAAAAATTGTACATGACCTTATTTCAAGATTTTTTTGAGCAAAAAATTTTATAAAAATATACATCCATCTTCGAAAGCGCCGCGCCGAAAAAAAATTTGTTCCTTCGCAATTTTCGAAAACTTAGGTCTTTGAATAACAATGAGATTTGCACTTTTTTTCTAGAGTTAGTTACACAATCGGAAGGCAGGGTAAATAAAGAAATTGGAGGAGAAATTTTTGATAAAATTCGGAAAATGTTGAGACGTCATGTAAAGTAGCCCCAAAATGTAAATATCCGTTTCAAACTCGTAGGCCGTTTAGACTCTTCAGGTCGATCGGGGAATATCAGTTTTGGAGAAAATCGTCGGAACGGTTGAGGTGCTAACGTTGATCACAAACGGACGGACAGGCAAACGTTTTGCCGTCAATCGATTTTTCGGTATCAAGGACACATAAAACATGTATTCTGTCTACACAAAGCGTTAGAGAAAGTAATTTATTACATACATGTAGAAAAGAAATTTAGTCCCTTTTTCGTTCCCAGGACCCAACAAGTTGTCAAAACATCGTGGAATTCCGCCGGACTATAAAATATTTTCTCTTTAAAAAACTTAAAATATTTTCCCAGATCGATAGGGGAGTATTGATATTGAAAATTTTGTGTATGATTTGGCGCTATCTTTGTTTTCCCAATTTAAGTATTAGACTACGAAGTTGTCTTTCACAAAGTTTCAGTTCTTATTAATTAGCATTGTTGCTATGAAAAAACTCTGATCCTTACGGAGCGAATAAGCACTTCAACCTAGCTTCGAACAAAATGATACTTAGTCTAGTTATTAATATCGTATTTCAAGAAAGATGAAAATCAAATATTTTTAAAATATACAATTTTAATTACTCGTGAAAGTCCAGATTTACAAAAGCAAAACTTTTTCACAAATGAATGATATTGTTCCTTTGTGCCAGAAATTATCAGTTGTGTTGGAAAAGGCCAATCGCAGTCTCCTCGGAATTGTAGTTCTCCTGACGCCGACAAATGGCAATGTATTATTGCCAAGCGAAGAAAGTTCTTGGTTTTGTTATTCGTTTATACAATAGTAATAGAAGAAATAAAGATTGTAAAACTGATCTTCAGTTCTAAAATAAATACTGATGTTGTAAATGGGTTACAGTTTCACGAATTAGAAAGAAAATTACGTACTTTTAACTTCCGGCGGTCCGAGTGAGAAACTAGCCTTATATGAGCACGTATTTTCTCGTGATGTTGTTATGTAATATTATAATACGATAATTTCTGTCTTGCTCTTTAACTACCATTTGAAAGATTCTTAAACAAATGAAGCGAGAAACATACATATATTTTTTATATTATTTTTTAAGATAGATTAATTTGTAATTGGGGAAAGACTTTGGCCAAAACATGCAAAGAAAGGGGAGGGTTTATTTAATAGAATATGAACAGCATTGTTTATAGTTACATTCATTCTAAAATCGGGTATATTATTCAATTGTTACTATTATGATAAAAATGTAAAAAGGAGAATAATATGTATGTATGTACAGCACTGAATAAACGTATTTGATCGGCATATTGTAAGTATTTTTATTCCAGAAGAGGACCTAGAGAATTTCCGACTCCATATTAGAATAAGTAATCCCGTGTACGTAAATACAATATTTCGTCATCTGGAGTCCGTATGGACGATGTATCGTTCCCACACCTATATTTTTTCACGAGAGTGAAAATTCGGGCTTTATATAGAATAGTAGGATAATTAAAATTTCGTCCGTATTTTCCTATGAAACACCGGATGTCGCCGGGCGTGGGTTGTGCCGAGACAATAGGACAGTATGCTTCATCGTCCCTGACACCCCGAAAACGCTTGCAGGTAGAGAAGAACTGCACGTTTCCTGGCATCTTTCGAAGCAACGTTATACTCAATACAATTTTATAAAACACCACGCGCTACCTGACGCGTGCGATTCATTACAATATGGAGTAATAACGTGGGGAAGAGCCTATGATACTACCTTGAACCATTGCAGGATGTTCAGAAGAGAATCGTCAAGTTCAATTTCAGGAAAAATAGATTATATGCATCTGACGAGCTTTTTAAAAGCTATAAAATGTTATCAATTACGAAATTCTTTTTTGGAGAAATCTCTTCTAAATAATATTTCAGCAACTATTCAAAAATATAATTATTTGCGTGATAAGAGAGTGGCACTGGTACTAACAACCTCGGTTAAAAAAGAAATCGGTGGAAGAAATCATGTTTGTTAGTTACAGGATATTTAACTTACTGAATGATGAAATCAAAATTATGAATTTTGAAAATTCTTGATAAATTTCAATATGGATGCCGTCACGTCAATTTTAAGTTAATTTGTATATCTCTTATTCTGTTATTATTATATTTCATTTATTGTATTCCATTTATATCAATGACTTTAAGTGTTATAATAGATCTGCGCACTGGGTGTATTTCCTCAGCGGATAATTGTAAAATTATTTGTACACAAGACTGTTTAATATATATATATATATATATATATATATATATATATTGTTACGGCACAAAGATTAAGGATTTATTTAATATGAAAGTATAAGCAGTTCGTGCTAAATGTATCTTAACGTTACGTAACATTAGAAAATGCGTAGTTCTTTGTGAGTGGAGGGCGCAGTTCCAAGAACTGCCAAGGCCTCTTCCACTCCCGCACCCCCGATCCAAGGGACTGTTGAAGAAGCGCGACCGTCGCCGCACCCCGATGCTCCATCTGTTTACATGCCAATAGCACGAACCTACTTCCATTCTCACTTCTCACCCCACGACCTTCCACGACGCTCCGGCCAAGGCATGGACGGTGTTGCGTAAGTGGAAAATCTCGACTGCAATGGACGAGATTATTGCTTGGATAGATAAATAATCCCACCTGCGTCGTACTCATACTAGACTGCGGATCTCGAATCTTGCATCAGCATTTTTGGAGACAGAGTGGGCACTAGAAAAATTCCAAGTGCATTAATGACAATTTTCGCAAGGTGTGGAGTGGTTTTTGTCGCCAAATAACCGCACGAAGTGAATGGCCGGTGCCCTTTGAGCTTCTGTCAATGAGCCGCCCCGCACTGGCCAAATATGGGAAGGCCGTGAAGCCCGTGCCAGCCCCTCCAATGGAAGGCAGTTGACGGGTCAATGACCACCCACGGTCGCCGTGACCGAGCAGCCCGTCGCTCAAGGAAACTGTGAATCCTTTCGACGTAAAACCACGCAAAGATTAGAAAACTCTTCAATTTTTTATTTCAATATTTATTCAGGTAATGAGCTCGTAACCTTTTATAATTTTTTATAAATCTTAAAGAATTCATATTAAAATTACGCTAAATTTTTTAATTGAACAAGTGTTTTCTTGTGTTTATTTTCAACAACGCCAAATTCCATTCTACATAAAAAAGGTATCCTGCAGGATTTCAGCTAGCTGGTGTGCTAACAAGGCGTCAACATCACAAATAGCTGTCCAAAGTGGGAACGAACTAAAATTAAATAACCAACACGACGGCACAATATATATATATATATATATAATGTGGCGTTATAGGGATTGTTGCAACCACCATAACACCACCGTCTCAGTGTGTGAACACTACGGAAGCAGCGAGGATAACAGGCGTGTAAGGCAGAGGTACTTAAACGCGCGGCCTGGTTCTCGTTGCCCGTACTAAGCGAATGCGAACTTGCAAGCAATGTTTCCTTGTGAGAGGGTTAAGAGAGGGGAAGTGCGGCCCCATCGCGAATTTCCCAGGCGCCGCGCCATAAATACGCGAAACCAGCAGCGGAAGCTCTCTTTTCTTGCCACCACGCGCCGAGTAAGCAGCTGCTCTTTTGATCACCGTTCGCCGAGTCAACATTTTCGTTAAACATTAGTTTAGATATTGTTTGCCCTGCAACGACTACTAGGGGTATTCGGCTTCGAACAAGATGTTCTAGTTAGTCGTCCGCGAGATAGGCAGATTAAGTAGTGTTTCTTCATTACAAACACGGGAAGTAAAAATTACCCGCTGTGAAGGAAACATTAAAGTTCTGGCTTGTAAAAGTAGAAGTAGCAACGAGCGAGGAACTTGCACGGGTATTCAGTGAAGTGCAAGGGACATTTCGCAACGTGGGCGTAGTCAGAGGGCCGGTAGCAGACGAGGAAGAAGAAGAGGCCGAGGACTTGGGGCACGAGGAAGAAGACGGATCGAAACCGAAGAAGAACGGAAGAGGACGCAAGAAGGCAACCAGACTTCAGAGGCGAATCCCGTGCTCTCTTTTTCAACGGCAGAGGTTGGGGACGGCGGCGTCACCGCAGCGACAGCGCACGACCGTCAGGCCAAGAGTGAGAAGTCCACGAGGGTAACAGTTAGGAACCGCAGAAATAGGTCGGTTCACGTCGGCAGAGAAAAAACTACAACAAATGCAAAATTACGAGTATTTATAGTAGGAGACGTTTTAATGCGCTATTGCCTGCTTAAAAAAACATTGTACTTAGGACATTTATATTCGCTATTTTCAGACACAGTTAATTGTAATTAGAGTAGTGCACTTGCACACATTTGTGTTCTTTACATGTAATATCTTGAAGCGAGAGATTGTAAATTGAATTTTTGATTTCACGTGCAATGTAATTAGAATAGCACAAATTTTAGTATAATTAATTTTCCAAGGAAATTCCCAAGTGTAGTTTAGGTAATTATGTCAGAGTATCAATTTTGAAGTAAATTATGGTTCATTCACATGAGTCTGTGTTGTAAAGGTTTCTATTTGTGTTTCGATTATTCTTTGTAAAAGTGTGATTCTATATTCTTGGTTCTGTCATTAACTTATGCAACTAAAAGTTTATGGTAAATTATACGCTCGTTGTGTTGCAATCTGTGTGATTTTATTGTGTCAAGGGTTCAAAACTTTCTCGCATCCTGAAGATCCTGCCCTAGATTTTTTTTAAAGCTCGCTTCACGAGCAAAATCTTGACAACCTGCTTACGGTTCATGCCTGCTACCGTGTACGAGGTAGGTGGGTATGTTAGAATATATATATATATATATATTCTAACTTCGATTTAAATCGAAGTACATAGGCAGCATGTCTGGAAACAGATTTTACGTGTGGGATAAAAACCTTTTTTTGTAATACAGTAAAAACACACGTTTACGCTCCCCTTTCTAAAGAGAGATTTGACTCATCTAAGCGGCTAAAGTAAGCCACAAATCATATTTCGTCAGCCCGTAAATCATATCTAAATTTCAGGAAAAATTGCAAGGGTTCCAACTCCAAACTTTTGCTTGAAAGTACACAAGCTGAAAATTTCTGCGTAACGATTTGCTCTACTTCTCCATTCTAAAACTCACAAATTATCTGAGAGTATATATTTCAGTCATTCCAATTCCTGGTACTTTGTTTATCTTCGTAACACAAGTTTATTTTATGTATCACTGTATTAAAAAATGTCTCATATCATAAATGTTTGTATTCTTAACGTATTTTACAATGATCGCTTCCACTCAGTGTTTCTATATGATTTATAACAAATATAAATAATGAAGAAACATTTGATAAAAAAATTCAAAACCAATTATTACCATTTACACACAACACAAATTCATTACCTTGTCTTCATTTTACCTGCTTCGTTTTATCACATACTGACGCTTTCTAAAACAACCATATAAAATAATATTTATTCTACTATGTTATGCTCAACTTACATTTTTGTCAGTCAAGACAGTACAGATATCTGTTTGACTTAAAATGTCCTCGTTTAAGAACTGTTAAACTTAATTTTTTCGGGGACTATGTTCCCACGAAACTAAATAGATGTTGGAAACTCGCGATGTAACTTCCCGTATTAACTTCACTTTAGCCCGTCTTGCGTTTCTTCGCCTTGTTGGCTATGTCCTTTGATTTTGAGAAGAAGTAATTAGTCAGGGTGCGCACTGTTAGCCAGAGGGCAGCAGCGAGCAGCACCAAGATGGCCGCCAGCACCGCCCCCACGTCCAGCAGCCACAGCTGAGGCCACGTGAGGTCCACGGCGGCGGAGCGCAGGTGTGGCGCCCCGCGGTGCCGCATCACGTACTCCGTCCACCACACCGCCGTCTCCAGCGGCGCCTGCGGCCGGTCGCGGAACTGCTCGCTCAGCCGCCTTGCGTTTTCCCGATAGCTGCACAGTCAATAGAGAAATTGAGACGAAAGCTAAAAGAAACTCTCCAAAACTGTCATTTGAGAAAAACGCATGCATGTTTTCGATCATAACATTCTTCACATTGGCCTATTTAATTGCAAATCATTTTAATATATTATAATTATTTTTAAACTTGATTTCATTTAGAACGTAATTAAGTTCTACTTGTTTCAAATATGTGACAAGAAGAATTAAGCGTTTCTTTTGGAGGATACTATATTTATTATTAAAATGGTATAAATTATAAATATTATTAAAATTTAATTATGTACTGCTTTTATTATATACTTCTAATACAAATTATAATGTGGTTTGTTGACCTCATAGTTCATCAGTGGCGGATCTGGAGGGTGAGGGGCCATGACGGCCATGCCCCACCCCCCAAGACCTGGAGTTTTCGTTTGTTACCTTCTTTTATTTGCCAAAAGTGATGATAATTACTATTACACTATATATACTATATACTATAGTGAATATATTTATATTATACTATAAAGGTAGATTTATGAAACAATTTATAAAATAATATTCGGCAGTATCATTGTGTTGTAGATCAGTTGAAGTAAATGAAAAACATTTGTATATCATTTTGTCTTCCTTTTTTATTTCATTCGATTATTTAGTCCGTTAATTTTACGGCAATCTCCGGCTTTCTATATTGTGGCGGATTATTATTTGCAAGATAGTCACAAATAAAATAGAAGATTAATTACAAAGTAAGATTTATTACATTGTTACCCAACGGGTGTACGCAAATTAACGCGTGTATTTCCTTTGTGAGCTAAGAGAGCAGCTGCCAGGCTCGAGAAGCCCTCCCTTCTCGACCCCTCGGAACCTCGACAGGCGCCGTCTGGGTACCGCTTTTGTTTACATTTGTTTATGGGCCGACGGCATACACCTTTCTTCACCCTCTCTCCTCCCAGCCCCGCCCCCTCCTCCCCGACCCACTGGCTAGGGCGTATACAATATTACGATGGAGGGCCCAGCTGCGACAGCAGATTATTACTCCAAATCAGTGTACAAGATTACTCGCGCAGAATCAGACCTATACGAGAAGTTCGCCGATTGCATCAGTCACCATGAGTGAGAGTGCGGTATTTTAAGTATATTGTCGGGCTTTTCAGGGATCGGCTGAGAAAATATTACTGCGCAATTGATTTCGGCCACTTACAGTGCGTAATTTCTAGGGTGGGAAGAACAAGGGATTGTAGAAGGCTAGAAGGAGTTGACAGTGAGACCGACTGGAGAGATGCTTTTGGAAGACAGAGCCGAACGGACCGTGGAGCCAGTGGCCGCATCCGTGCGCGGTAATTTCTTTTATTTTACCTGACTTGTGAAAATAGACAGATTAGATGTGAGCGCGAAGCTAGCGATCGGATTCGTACACAGCAATTAGTTGTGTTTTAGCGAAGTTGTGGGGGATAGGTGAGAGGTATGAGAAACGCGGAACAGGAGATCGCGTGCTAATGCGTAATAGATTGAGTGGACTTCATGAAATTGGGTAGGCAGGAGCTCGAGTTGTGCGTACCCACACACCTGTGGAACTTTTGAGGTGCGACGTATGATATCGTTATCATAAGGTTCCGTGAAAATTCAAAACCTGCCACATCGGTTAAGTCCAGATTATTAGAAAGTGGAAATACGACCACGGCGAATTCCGGAGTAGTATTCTAACAAACGGAACAGGGATCACGCGTGATATTTCCTTCCTCTTCCTTGTCCTATTCTCTCCTCTTACTTACATAAACACTAATACACACTACATTAGCACACATGCCGGTCGGGACCTTAGAGCTGGATCCAGTGACAGTGCTCCGCTGGTGGGAGATACGTGGTTGGGAAAATTCCCGCTATCTGACGGTAGTTCGGCGCCGGATCTCGCCATCCACCGGCTGAAGATCTCTGCCACCTCCAGATGGAAAAACATGTACTACACGTACGAGACTAATGGCCTTAGCTGTTGACGCGCCCCGAATCACTACACAATCAATCATTCAATCTGAGGCTCGAAAACCGGAATTGAATTGCATTGGACGCATCGTTTTCGGGTTATGCACGGCGGTAACGCGGGTGAGAGAGATGCCCGGCCGAGGGACGTCCCATCCCGAAGGGCGTGCAAATTCACCACGCTCAGAGCGCGCTGCACCCACTCACCTGGGGTCGTCGAGTACCGCCGCCAGCGCCGCCAGCAGGCTGTCCTCTCCGAGGTCCTTGTAGAACACCACGCGCCCCGCGCCCCGCTCCTGCAGCAGCAGCCCGTTCTGGCGCTGGTCGGTGAAAAAGGGCACCACCACCATGGGCACGCCCCAGAACACGGCCTCTTGCACGCCGCCCAGCCCGCCATGCGTCACGAACGCGCGCACGTTGGGGTGGCCTGCGCACGGGTTGAACTCACTTGGCTTGGGAAGGAAAGCTCGTCATAACATTGAGATGGGCTATCAAAATTGGTAGTCTAAAGGAATCTTTGCAAAAGGAATCTTTGCAAAAGGGTTCTTTGCAAAAGGTTGAATAGTCTAAACAGAAGGAAAGCTGGCGGTAAGGGCACCTAAAAGAACGAAGTCCCTAACAAAAAGTCACTCAATTTTACAACAGTTGGCCAAATTGCTTTGTTCAACACATTTGTAGTATTTCTCCGTGTGGCAATTACGCAATTAGCATAAAGGTATGTAGATACTAAAAATATAAAAATTTATTAAATGATTATACTTAAGTTGCGGGGGACACTGGATGAAAGGTTCCTACAACTGGTATTATCTTACTCTGTGGTTCCAGATGATATAACCAAGGAACTCTTCAAGAACACTTCAGAGGGTTCTATTTCTATGATTGCGAACCGTGGGTTCATAAACTCGAATCTATTTTATCTGTCTTGATCTCTTCACTGGCGATGTTAAGTCAACTGCATCTGAACCAATGCAGTGTATTGCTTAGATCATCACATTACACTGTTGTCATTACTTCTACATGTCAATCACAGAGGCGGTCGGTGCCCGATTGAACTGGAGGTTGCAGGTCCATCGAATAACGGAAATGTAATTTCCGAAATTCAGAACACTACTATAATAAAATTGAAAAAAATATTGTAAAGGAATTAAAACTAAGTTTAATAAAAAATCTATATTTCAATACTACCTACATAGTTTTATTCGTAGTATCCGTGTGAAGTATATTCCCCTCCCGCTCACGTAGTTATGTTTTTGATTTCCATGGGGCACTCAAGTTTTAGTATTAGTTATTTATTGAGACAATTGAGGGTAATAGAATTCAACCAAAACCAGAAAGCGTATTGTTTCGAAAATACGGTGCTCGCACTCCCGCACTTAGCAACAAACACTATTTTGTGTGGACACTTTTACATAAATAGTTATTTTATGAAAACTTCATTAAGTTGGTATACATTGCAATAATGAAAGATGTTATTCGTATTCACAACAATGCTTGCAGACAGCTGACAGACTGGCTACCACAAGGCCGCGAAGAACCACATACCGTGAGAGAGAGAGAAAGGGACTTTCTTCCAGAACGGCCAATATTAAACAAAGAATTCATCAAATGTACGTTTGAAATCAAGAAATCTAATATAAAATTAAAAGAAATTATTCAAATGACATAAACAACGCATTCAATAATTGACTTAACTTGTATACTTTCAATAGCATACGAAATCCATAAAATTAGGTTGCAGCTAAAGTCAGACGAAGTCAGAGTATCGATATACTCCTCGGACGCCGCACAGCGGTTGGCGACAAGACGCCCCACCCATTTGGCCACCTAAGGCCCTGTGTTGAATGGTGTTCAAGCTTACAACCAAAGAGTAAGTGCGCGACATGGTATAATACTTGGTAGTGCACCACACGACAAACAGCGCTTGTTCGGCGTTCTTTGGTTTCAGAATGATTTCAGATACAAATATATCGATATTGATGTACTATCTTGAATACTGAATCTATTAAAGGGAGCATGTACATTCCTAACACATTAGAAGATCTTTGTCTATTATCTGGGGGTTGTGCAACCATGCAACCTAAGAATGAGCCGCCACTGGCCAGTTACAGTCCACTTGTGTAACTGATTTCCTGACACAAATTGTCAAAACCAACAACTAAGTTTGAGGTCTGTTAAAACCCATTATTCTGCCTAGATTCCATATTCTTGCCTAGCTGTTGTATAAATCTTTCAACCAGTGTCACGCCGTGACTTTACTAGAATCTTTTAATCGGTTATGTATAACGTTAGTTTCATATGTTCAGTGCTCAGTGCTCATATTTATATGCTAATTGTGTAAGGTACCTTCTAGTGTTACCATAGAATCTAGAGCTGGGTTACCTTATTTGGTCTGCTAACTTATTTTCCTGTACGGTTAAGAACACTCATTTCAAACGCCCCAGTGACATTGTAAGTGTTCCCTAAACTGAATTTATGGAATTTATTGCTTATTGACGGAATTTATTTCAATAAGCTAATTATTATATTTGATTCGCAGATTCGTTTGACCTCTAAAAGTAATTGATACCACTGAAGCTTACAATGGAATGCATAATTATTCAGTAATAGGATTTTTAACAGGTTGACCTCTCTTACATATTTCGCAAATTGACTGAAAGAGTCGTAAATATGGGTCGCTTATAGTTTCTTCCAGATCGCAGGGATTCATCGACTGAAACCCAAGTGTTCTCAGACGGTTTTCTCCCATCCATTGCAATGGATCGTTTACCCCGATATCAAAGTAAATGGTGATGAAACTCTCCACCTTTGAAAAATGAAGATGGTGTGAAAAACAAAAGATGTTTCTCCAGCAAAATTCCTTCAGTTCCCGAAGTCAGAAGGAATAAAAGGGAAATAACAGCAAGGTGATCAAAAATGATTTAGTTATTTAAAAACGAATTCCTGGGGCGAGGCAGTTCTGGACATGCGTCCACATGACGTCAACTGGAAGAAGGGAAAGAACAGTACCGTGTGATAATGGAGTTTCATTCGAAGAAAATAGTGCTGCAAATGGTACAGATCTTATCGGTCGAGTTATTATTATTTAACTTTATATAAGGAAGAGTCTTCCTTTCGTGTTTGCCTCACTTCTTCCAGTCTGCGTAAGAGACCTACCGAAGCCTCTCGTAGTAATTGTAAAAGATGTTGGGAAAGTTACAAAAAAAACTGTCGAGAAAGTACAAAATCTATAGTAAATCAATTAAATAATCTTCATAATTCGATCAAATGGACAATCTCAAGCAAATTGAAGAAGACGTGGTTCCCTAGCAAATAGATAACATGAATTTGAACGATCTCTGGCAAGTCGATCAAAAGAAGAAAATCAAGGAAGTCAATATTAACTGGAGATTGCTAAGTTGGGATCAATTAGGTTATCTTCAGACAGCCAAGAACAAATGGATTCAAAGAATGGCAAAGTTAAAAGACGATCACAAGAATTTTGAAATCAAATTGAAGATCTCACCGTCAGATCAAGTGGATGATCTCACGAAAGCAGACATCAAGACGAAAATATCAAAATATTCGAAGCAAAGACGAGAAATCTAAAGAATTCAAGATCAAGTGCAAGATTTCAGGTAAGTCTAGAACAAGTGAATGTTTAAAGGATGTTGACACGAAGTTGAGGAACCAAAGTTAATCACGTTGACGATCTGAAGCAAAACCAACATATGATGTATCTGAAGCAAGCCCATTTAGTGGAGGATCTCAAGCAAGTCGATCAAGTGGAGTATCTCGAACACGTTGATGAAGGGCAAGATCTCCGCGCAAGTCATGTATTGTTTTGTATTTAAAACTTTAAAAATGTTTGATGTTTTGATGATAGTTTTCATTTCATACCAATTCGTGTTATTTCAGTAAATCGGAATAATATTTTAACCGCAGGGGGTGTCCACCACGCTTTATTGCCTGAGAGTTCCTCTGTAACCAAACCCGTCTCTGGGTTTATTCCAATTCGAAGGCTCGCCACTCACTGAGCAGCGCCTGCTGCGGCACCCAGCCCACGGGCAGCACGTTGCGCGGCAGCGCGAAGGGCAGGCGCGTGGGGTCCACCTTCCACACGACGCGTTGCCGCAGCGCCCCCAGCGCCCGCGCGAAGCCGCGCAGCCGCTCGCCCGGCATCGTCTCCGCCTGCACCAGCGACCCGAACGTCGCCAGCACCACGCCCTCGCCCGCGCCTTCCACCCACGCGCGGAGATCCTGGCCCACGAACACACAATTACAACTACAATCATTTACCGTATTTAAGTGATGCGCAACTTTTTAATACCAAATGTAATACTCAAAATAGTGATGCAATTTAGAGTCGATGGCGCATTACATTCAAGTGCAAATCCGTTCCATAGAACACAAGTAACTTCAATTTTTTCGTTTGTTACGTCACAATGAGTTTCTGGAGTTTTAAAATTTAACTTCGTTTTATATATAATTGGCCTATTATTGAGGGGAAACGTAAGAACGTCTTATGATGTTTCATTAAAGCGTAAAGCAGATAACAACAACACAGTTAGAATGCTATTTATATATACGATAAATCTATTGTTGTGTTACACAAATGTAAATAAAATATCGTCGCTGAGCTGTCGTAAGCTGTCGATTTTTGCAAGTTCATAATTGCAGAAGGTGCTAGACGTGCTTCCCCTTCATAATCTTTATTCCTTCATGCACCGACCACGTGAGAAACTATTCAATTTCCTGCGAATAGTTGACCCAAAACCTCGATGAATCCGAACCCACGAGGACTACCTCAGAAGGTGAGATCATTCTATCCGAATCCCACATTGCACCAAGGCCTGTGTCACACGAGCGTTAGGTTGACGCGCGGTAAGTAGCGCACGTCGTAAATTAACACTATATCTTATGCGGAACGGCCAAAGCGCTCTTGTGCCGTTTTGCATTAGGTTGTGATATTCTACGCTGCACTTTACTTGTCGCATGTCAACACAACGCTCGTGTGCAAGGGTCCTATTCCGACTAACGACGTGAATACTATCGGCAAGAATCCGGGTAATCGAGAAGACATTTCGACAACCCCCGACAGCGCTTTTTTTCTCGTGCATCTGACACTCACCTCGGGCAGCTCTCCTGGCTGCGAGTCGACGTGCAGGCCGCCGACCTCCACGTAGCCGGGCACGGTGGCGCGCGCGCCGTTGAGGCTGAAGTGGCTGTTGACCATGACGAGGCTCGTGTTGCGCAGCAGGTCCTCGAGCGGAGGCGCGCCCTCGCCCAGGTACCGCTGCAGGAAGGCGTCGGTGAGGCGGTGCCCCACCACGCGCTCTCCGACCACGGCGTACAGCTGGCCGGCGGCGTTGAGCACGCGCTCCCAGAAGCCCATGCGCGGCGTGAAGGGCAGGAAGGAGACCGGCACGTGGCTGGGCGGGCTCGGGTTGCCCACGCGCGCGTCCATCCACGGCAGCCCCGCCAGCGTCGTCAGCCCGATCGCCGGCGCGCCCAGCTGGTGCGCCAGGCCGTAGCCGCAGTCCGACCCGAACACCTCCACCACCACCACGTCGTAGTGCGTGCCGGACGACACGAGCTCCTTCACGTGCGGGTACTCCAGCATCTGCGCAGCGCCGCGTATCAACACGCACCACCACGCACCTCCGAGCATCACTGCACCTCAGCACGCAACCTATCACAATCTCCCTCGTGGCTCTCTAATGCCCCCGCTTTTGCGTAACCTTTACGGCTCCTTATTTCTACGTTCACAAGCTGAAATATTAGGCGGTGGCCGTGTACTTATAGAGAATAATAGGAGTGCATTCAAAATCGGGAATTTGTCTAGGATTTTCCAATACAGGAGGAATATTTAATAGGAATATTTCACGAATTAAATTACTTCTAGAAGGCATGTAAAGTGCGGCAAAGATTAATTGTATTAATGAAACTAGTGTTTTCGGTTCACATCATCTGCATTTGTTGATATAACGTTGCTTGTGATTAGTATTATGTAATGCAATAAAAGACGATTACAATTTTATCAAATTACAAAAGACACATCATTTATCAACTTACAAAAGACGAATCATTTATAAGAAACTATTATTTTTCTATTTTTCTCTCAACGACAGAACTCGAAGTTACGAGGCAAGGACAAGAAATTACATTGTAAGTGAGGCGCACATATTCAGTGCATAATACATAAAATATAGGATATTACCTTTCTGCAGGAGTCGACGTTTCCTTGCCAGATAAATTGCATGAGATTGAAGAAATGTTTCTCGAGGACATATTCAACACTGAATGAATTTTCGAAATTTGGCATAGTTCCTCTTAGGCTGATGTCTGTGTAGTTGGGCGACGGAGCTTTCTGAGGAAAGTGGCTCACCATATCCACCTAAAAATCAAATCATAATGAGTAGTAGCTACTAAAATATAGCATGAATACTAAAATATTCACTAACTTTTCATTATTTATTTCGATTGGCTGAACTTTGTAGACGATAATGAAGGATATTGACTAGAGCTCGGTTTGCATCACTAAAATATCAAATAAAATGTGCGTAATCCATTAGAGGCTCTACTGATTATCAAAAAGACAAAATGCTTATTTTAATAAAACAGCGATCGTATACGAATTGAATTAGTTTATATTTGTATTGTATATTTTTTTAGAAAAGACTTAACATGCTTGTAACAAATAATGTACTTCAGCTTCCGGGCCAATGACACCCATCTCGATCAGGTTTTTGTCCAGTTTCTCTGATTCATTTAGCAAATGCAGAGATGGCCCCTTGTTCTGCTTCTGGACGTAAATGTAGCTTCACTACATGCTCACGTTTTGTTGAACTCTCCTTTTGCTTGTAATGGTAAGAGTAGAGGTAAGGGAGAGTTACTATTTTGTTAGCAATGCAGAAAAATCATAAGGTGATATTATCATCTTATTTTTAGCTACAGAAATGATATAAAAATCTTAGAGGCAAGCAGACATTCACGCAGAGAGAGAAAGAAACAGAAAGATGGAGAGAGCACCGAGAGAAGATGATGGAAGGCAAGAAGAAGATAGAGTTATGTGATGAGAACAACACCATCGGATCGAGAAGAGTTAGGAGCGGGAGAGAGATGGGTGAGAGAGACGGAAGATCGGAAGGACGGAAAGAGGACCGGGAGAGAGAGAAAAGGGCGAAGGGACAGCCGTGATGAACCCAGAGAGAGAGATAGGGAAAGGGCAGAGACTTCCGTTTTTTTATTTTTTTTTTTTGTTTGAATACATCTGCCGAGCGGTTCCAGTTAGTATTCCTTTACAAATTTTACAAAAATAATTTCTATTTCTGTCTTTAGCAGGGATGTGTAAGATCGATACATTTATATTTTATATTTTTATGGTTTGAATTGGAAAGTTGTGCTAGTCGTTGTAAACCAAACCCAGAATTTCAAATATGAACAGAAATATAAAAAAACCGCAAGTGAGACAATCGACTTAGTCCGACTACGATCTTTCTGCCAGAGATGCGGCGGAGGTTGCAAACTACGCAATAGCCGTCTCACCACCTTGCCTGCTAGTGGTACTCGACATTCCTGCGGAACGCCCGACGCTGCGTGCTGCTGCTAGCCCTGCTGGGAGGGTGGCGGCGGGGCGCCCGGGACCTTATGATACTACGTCGATCTATCGCGTGCAAACTCTTACACTGAGCTATCAAACAACCCTCCGGCCGTGCGTGAGCCGGCTCGTGCCCGTGCCTGCCGAAGCCACTTTCATCGCTTTCGAGAGGCTCTTGAAGGCGCTCGCCGCGCGCGGACACCAGGTAAGTTGCGCGAATGGCGTGTTCTAGGTGATTTCCGGGGTCGTCAACTACGAGGGTTATTAGGCCCGTAAACGGCAGTTGCGTAAGGTTTGCTCTGAGGGGGATACGGAAGTAGTCTTTCCCCCGTTGTATGCGGCGAGATCCCGGTGACCGACCTACGTAGACTAGCACGTGGTTTTCCCCAACCAGGTACATCTCACACAGTGGGCATCGCCCCAGCTGGGACAAAACTCTAACTCCCGACCTCGTCTCCTGGCATGTGTTTTTGTAGTGCGTGCTTAGTGGTAAGTTGTAGGGTGATGAGGATATGACTAGGAAGAGGTAGGAAAGATCGCTTTGCAGGTCGTTGGCCCGTTTTTTAAAGTACTCCTTCAGCATGCGACGTGTCATTGAAATCGGAGGAAACACGCGGGAAACTGCCGATCAGCAAGCAACGCGGCCCCGCTGGAATTCTCCTCCAGGTGAGTACGCGTAGAACCTCCTGCACCCACAAATGAAGATGCATGATGCCTTCGAGGGGCGCTCTGTCAGGGTTGCCAGACGTGTAGCGAGCTCTTGCCCCACTACTACTACTACTACTACTACGGGACTACTACTACTACTACTTACTTTACTACTACTACTACTACTACTACTACTACTACTAGACTACTACTACGACTACTTACTTACTACTACTACTACTACTACTACTACTACTACTACTTACTACTAACTACTACTACTTACAACTACTACTGACTACTACTTATACTTATACTTACTACTACTTGACTACTTACTAGCTACTACTACTACTACTAACTACTTACTACTACTACTAAACTTGACTACTACTCTTTAACTACTACTTACTACTACGGACTACTATACTACTAACTACTTACTAACTACTACTTACTACTACTACTACTACTACTACTACTTACTAACTACTACTACTACCTACTACTACTACTTACTCTACGGACTACTACTACTACTACTGACTACTACTACACTACTTACTACTATACTACTTATTACTACTACTACTTACTACATACACTTACTCTTCACTAACTTACTACTACTACGTTTTTTCTTACTTTTTTAACTTACTTACTACTACTACTACTACTACTACTACTACTACTACTACTACTACTTACTACTACACTACTGTACTACTACTACTACTACTACTACTTACTACTACTACGTACTACTACTTACGACTACTACTACTACTACTTACTACTTACTACTACTACTACTACTAGCTACCTATACTACTACTACTACTACTACTACTATACTACTACTACTACTACTACTACTACTACTATTACTTACTACTACTACTACTACTCACTACTACTACTACTACTCTACTACTACTACTTACTACTACTACTACTACTACTACTACTACTACTACTACTACTACTACTACTACTACTACTACTACTAACTACTACTTACTACTACTACTACTACACTACTACTACTGACTACTACTACTACTACTGAGCTGACTACTACTACTACTACACTACCTACTACTACTTACTAGCTACTACTATACTACTACTACTACTACTACTACTAGAACTACTACTGACTACTACTACTACTACTACTACCACACTGTACTACTTACGACTACTACTACTACTACTACTACTACTACTACTACTACTTTACTTACTTACTACTTACTACTGACTACTACTACTACTTACTACTACTACTACTAACTATACTACTACTACACTACCTACTACTACTCTACTACTACTTAACTTACTACTACTACTACTTACTACTACTACTACTACTACTCACTACTACTAACTACTACTACTACTACTACTACTACATTACTACTGACTTACTACTACTAGCTACTACTACTACTACTACTATACTACTACTACTACTACTGACTACTACTATACTACTACACTTACTACTACTACTACTACTACTACTAAGGGTACTACTGGAACTTACTACTACTACTACTACTACGTACTTACTTAGCTACTACGTACTACTACTACTACTACTACTTACTACTACTACTACGAGCGGAACTACTACTATACTACTACTACTACTACTACTTACTAACTCACTACTACTACTACTACACTACTGACTAATTTACTACTACTTTACTACCTTTTTTTTTTTACTCACTACTACTACTTTATACTCACTACTACCTACTACTAGCTACTAACACTTACTACTACTAACTACTACTTACTACTACTTACTACTACTACTACTACTTTACTACCTTACTACGACTACTACAAATAACTACTACTACTTACTGCTACGACTACTTACTACTACTTACGACTAACTACTACTACTTACTACTCACTCACTACTACTACTACTACTACTACTACTACTACTACTATTACTACTACTACTACTACACTACGACTACTTACTAACTACTACTACTACTTACTACTAACTACTACTTACTACTACTACTTACTACTACTACTTACTACTACTACTACTTACTACTACTACTACTACTACTTACTACTACTACTACTACTACTACTTACTACCTACTACTACTACTACACTACTTACTACTACGACTACGACTACTACTACTACTTACTACTACTTAACTACTACTACTTCTACTACTACTCTACTACTACGTAGCTACTACTGACTACTTACTACTACTACACTACTACTACTCTACTATACTACTACTACTACTACTTACTACTACTACTACTACTGTTACCTTACTACTACTACGTACTACTACTATACTACTTACTTACTACACTACTACTACTACTACTACTACTTACTACTTACTTTCCTACTACTACTACTACTACTACTTACTACTTACGTTCAACTTACTACTACTACTACTATACTAACTACTACTACTACTACTACCTACTACTACACTAACTACCTACTACGGGTACTATACTACTACTACTACTACTACTTACTACTACTTACTACTACTACTACTTACTACTACTACTACATTTACTCTACTACTACTACTACTACTACTACTAACTACTAACTACTACTACTACTACTACTACTACTTACTTTACTACTAACTACTACTTACTCACTATAGCTACTACTACTACTACTACTACTACTACTACTACTATACTACTACTACTACTACTTACTACTACTACTATACTACTACTTACTACTACTACTACTAATACCTAACTTACTACTACTAACTACGTACTACACACTACTACTACTAACTACTACTACTACGTACTACTACTACTACTAACTTACTACTACTACTACTACTACTACTACTACTACTACTACTACCTACTACTAACTACTACTACTACTACTAATACTTATACTATTTACTACTACACTAACTACTACTTTACTACTACTACTGACTACTACTACTACTACTACTGACTTACTTACTTACTACTACTACTACTTTACTACTACTACTACTACTACTACGACTACATACTATACATACTACTTACTACTACGTACTACTATACTACTACTACACTACTACTATACTACTAATACTTACTACTAC